TGGAGGGTTCAACACGTTGGCGCCAAGGTGGATGTCGGGATGGGGATTCGGCATCCCGAGACATACTTACCATCTTTGGAGAAACAATTTTTTTACAGAGCCTATTACTATACTAGAAAAGCATGATTGCGGGATTTCAATAAGAATGTGGTTTCGAAAATATTTTTTTCTGGGAATAAGTAGAGGAAGGGAGAGGGAGAAGGAAGTCGTGTCTCATGGTCAGCGGATACATCCGGCCTGGGAAGTTATCTGCAGTTGTGGGGCTAGTAATTGATGCTATTGCTGAAAAGGGAATATGGGTACGGGTGTTTCCGCTTCCTTTGAGCCGAGATATTTGCTTTTTCTTTTGCGTCGAAGCGGCTAAGAGGTTGCTTTTTTCGAAGTTGGTGCTTGTATGTGTATACTAAATATCTGAATGTATACACACTATGTGGGGTTCATTGTAGATTGTTAATTAGCGATTGGCTGTAGTATTTACGCTGATCTCATTGGGTAAATATGATCACTGAGACTTAGTACAATTAGCTTTTTTCTTGGTGCTGTCTTCTTGGTTCTCCAGTGCTTGCATTGATTCTGAGAATTGCTACGTAGACGAAAACGATGATTGGTTCAAGACAGGCAATAGTGGTGATAGAGTAGTCTGTATGCTTTAACTTGATATTCTGCACACATGAGGTATATCCTCGCCGGGAGCTATCAATCCAAGATTCATATGTATGTGGTGGCGTACCTAAGTTATCGTGTCCAAGCAAAGTTTTTACTAGAAAGAAGATACCAAAATAAGAGTGCTAGCATCGAGGTAGTTCAGTAATCTTCAAACTCTTTTGGTGTACAGTAATGATGGGTATGAGGTCTGATAGGATACGGTACTTGAAGCTGCAAACGCCGCAATTAGTCGGAACTTCTGACCAGTCAACATGCTAAAAGACTATTGAGGCTTTTCACCAACTGGATGCGGGCCGTATGAAAGGTTTCCACGTAAGTCCGAAAATGTGCTTTTTCCGAGAGCTACGTAACATCGGCAAAGTACATCCCTTGCCGACGGAAATAGCTCAATTGGGTCTTAGTCTCATCTATTGCCAAGACCCGCAGTTGTTTGTACCACCAACGTTGCGTGTGAGTCCCTTTTCAGGAAGTATTGTTCTCCATCATGTCAACAAACGAAACATCTTGCAAAGTTCAATATCTAAGCGAGTGATGGTAATGTGTCAGGGCATTGAGTAAAAGTCCAAGAAATGGTATATTTTGTTCGATTGGGTATCATACCTGTACGCCTGGAAATGCTCAGTTAATTCCTATACACTAGATGCATTTCAATCTGCTTCTTCTTCCTCCCCTGCTCGTTCCATACGTGCCCTGATGTCTCGTACAAGTGCTTTCGCATCCTCGACTTCCACGCCGTCTTGACAAAGCTCGTTCGCAAGCTCCATTGCTCTTTGATACATGCCACGCATGTACTCCCAACGTGCGAGCCACAGCCTAGCTTTGCTTGTTGTAGCAGTTACACCAACACCGCCTGCGCCCTCCATCCCAGCTTCTTCATAATCGGGGCCTTCCTCCTGAGCAAGGACAAGCTCCATATATGCTGCACACTCGTTCATGTTATTTATGCGCTCATAGAGCAGCGCAATTTGGTATAGCACATCGGGGTCCAGGACGCCCCCGGCAAGTCCAGAGACTTCGCCACTACCAAACGATGTGCCGACGCCTGCATCGTAGTAGGAACCAGCGACCAATGCACGCTTGTATGACCGTATTCCATTCATGACCTTGCCGACTTTGCCAAAACATTGTCCAACAGCCATCCAGAGCTTTGGATCGTACGGCCGCAACGCAGCGGCGCGTTGGTGGTAAAAGAGCGCATACGAATGCATTTCCAGCACTTCGTACGTTTGACCCAAACCATACCATGCGCGATAATCTTTGCGGTTGACATCGACAGCCCGCCGGTACGACTCAATGGCGGCATGGGTGTTCTTCATTTCAACAAACTCGTGACCCATCAATGTCCATGCTGACAAAAAGGTGCGATCGAGTGTCAGAGCTCTTCGAAAGTACATGACGGCCTTTTCGTGCTCGGATTTGAGTGAGTAGTAGTTGCCCACCACACAACACGTCTCTGGACGAAACTTGTCTGTGGAAGTGGCCAGCTGGGCTAAGAATGCAAGTTTGGGTCGCATGCCCATGACATAGAGAATGTTGGAGTAGTTGTCTAAATGGTCCACCCGGTGGGGATCGGAGATGAGGAGGTCAGAGAAGATTTGTTCGGCATCATCAAAGTCCTTATTGTGGTAGTGGAGTAGAGCGCGTTGGGTCTTGAGAAAGGCCGAAGTGGGGAAAATGGTGAGAATCTGCGACAGCGACGAGTGTATCTGCTCGCTGACGACGTATAGCTCTTGCGAGGATGTGACATGGAAGATGAAGGTCATGAGATTTTGTGGTAGACGCGCGACGATTCGGTTGAGATCTTCGGTAGTGCTGAGCAGTGCCTGCAACTCTTGCCATGCACCCCAATTGTACGTGTATTGATGAAGACTCTTGACCAGATAGTCAATGGCAAGCTGCTCGTTCTTTCCTTTGGCCAGCACCATGCCGTACAGATACTCGAGCCAGCCTTGTGGTTGCCGCCCACTGTTAGGGAGATCTCTGAACCACTCGTCCAGGACAGCGGAAACAACTGGTAACTCTTTGTTCATGGTGACGCCTCCATCTTGGGGACCCAGTATCATCTCGCTATCCTCGTTCATGCGCTTCTCACCCGCAATGTACTTGGCATAGAGTGCCAGGAAGAGCGACTTCTGGCTGATGCCCTTGACTGTATCATTGGACAGTTTTCCCTTTGTTGGGGTAAACATGGTGGCCTTTCCCTTGGCCGACTTGGACTTTGACGTTGGGGTCGAAGAAGGATTCGACGCGCCCTTGGGCAAGGGCCCCGGGAGAAAGACGGCGGCACATCGATCGTATTCGCGACAGTCAAAGTATGTTTTTGCAAGGAGGAACTTGTGGGCTTCACGCGCTTCTAGACGCGCTTCAGTAGCGTCTTTGGGCACAGGTGCTGGTGTTGGTGGTGGGTGCGCGTCAGACATGGGCGAGTCGACATCCGTGTCTGAGCCATCATCGTCGTCAGGCGAAGGGAGAGAGTCGAGCAGTTCTGCAGCCCTTGTCAACATCAGTATACACGCGCCCGCCAGACATCACCCAAGGCCAGTACGCACCATTTGGCCGAGTGATAGAGGCAGCGCTCGGTGCAGCTAATGACGGCGTCCTGGAGCTGGGCCTTGAGCTGGGCCTCGTCAGCCTGCGATAAGGTGCCCATGACGAATCCAGACGAAAACAGGGTATCGCTGGTTTGGGCACAATTCTTCTATATACAGCGCGGTGATTACGGTTTCCGGGCAGAGCTTCGGTGACCGATGCACGCGTTGTTGTTGAGCTGCCTGTCTAGGGTACGTCGCGGTGGGGCAGCAACCAATTGCCCGGCTTAACCTTTTGCCGACAGACTTCCAGACTACAACTAGACACCGCCTCCATCAACATTTACTGCTGCCCCTCCCCATCTTGAATCTGTAAGCCACCTTCTGCCGTCAAGATGCCGACCACAATAAAAGAGTTTGAGAGCGTATGGCCACGCATTGTCGCGGACCTGCAGGATCACTGCAAACAATACAAGCTGCCCCAGCAGTCTCTTGATTGGTTCACAAAGGTACGTCCTGCCCCACCACACAGCGAACATCTTCAGGGTCCATGATGCTCACCACGCCAAAACAAACAGTCGCTCGACTACAACACAGTCGGTGGAAAATGCAACCGAGGAATGTCCGTCATTGACACAACGTCCATCCTCCAGGGCAAGACGCTCGATCCCTCTTCTGAAGAGTACTTCCGCGCCGCTCTTCTAGGATGGATGATTGAACTTCTTCAAGCCTTTTTCCTCGTCTCTGACGACATTATGGACTCTTCCAAGACGCGTCGTGGAAGCCCCTGCTGGTACCTCGCGCCCAAGGTTGGCATGATTGCCATCAACGATGCTTTCATGCTCGAGTCTTCCATTTACGTACTGCTCAAGAAGCACTTCCGACAAGAAACAAGCTACGTCGACATTGTCGAGCTGTTCCACGAGGTCACCTTCCAGACCGAATGTGGTCAGCTTTGCGATCTCCTCACTGCCCCAGAGGATGATGTCAACCTCGACAACTTCAGCCTCGACAAGTTCACCTTCATTGTCATTTACAAGACTGCTTACTACTCCTTCTACCTCCCCGTTGCTCTGGCTCTCTACTACGCTGGTGCCGCCACACCAAAGAACCTGAAAACTGCCGAGGACATTCTTGTCCCTATGGGCGAGTACTTCCAAGCTCAAGATGACTACCTCGATGCCTTCGCTGACCCTTCGGTTCTCGGCAAGATTGGGACCGACATCATGGACAACAAGTGTTCATGGCTCGTCAACCAGGCCTTGAAGAAGGTCAATCCCGAGCAACGGAAGCTGCTCGATGAGAACTATGGCCAGAAGGATTCTCAGAAGGAGGCCAAGGTCAAGGAGCTGTACCACGAACTCAAGCTCAAGGAGTTCTATGAGCAGTGGGAGGAGGATCGTGTTGCTGATCTGAGGGCCAAGATTGCCCAGGTTGATGAGAGCGAGGGTCTGAAGAAGGACATCTTCGAGCTTTTCCTCCAAAAGATCTACAAGCGCAGCAAGTAACTCCTGGGCAGACCACTACAACGCCAGCAATGAGATACCATATGATTCCACATTCAATTCCTACCGTTTCAACATGTCTCAAAGTGAATTTATATTCTCCACATGCATACGACGTGTCCCGATGCAATGATAAACCTAAGCACGAATTCCAGTTCCCCATGGGCTCGGCTAGCCTACCTAAAATAGCGCCATCCACAAGCGGCCCGAAGAGCCTCACCACATCCTACCAACGTCATCGCCATCACCAACCAACCATAAAAACGCCCAATTGCAGATCAGCAACCAACCATTCGCAACAATGACTTCTCCGCAAGCCGTGATCTCTGTAATCGGCTCTCTCAATGTCGACCTCGTCACACGCACCCACCGCATCCCCGTCGCAGGCGAAACCCTCGCCAGCGAATCCTTCAACATCGGCTGGGGCGGCAAAGGCGCCAATCAAGCCGTCGCCTGCGCCCGTCTCTCACGCACAAAAGCCCAAGTCACCGCTGCGCAAGCCTCCGATGTAGAGGTGCGCATGGTCGGTGCAGTCGGCCAAGATGAATTCCGCCAGTCCTTCTTAAAAGCACTGCGAGACGATGGTCTCAACACCGACAAAGTAGAGATTCTTCCCGGAAAGAAGACGGGTGTAGCTGTCATTGTGGTTGAGACGGGTTCCGGAGAGAATCGCATCATGTTTAACCCTGGTGCGAATGGTGATGTTCCTGTCAAAGATCTCGTGGATGACGATGCGAGTGTTGCCTTGTTCCAGCTCGAGTTGCCGCTGCAGGTTGTGCTGCATAATATGGCTGTGGCACGCAAGAAGGGGGTGGAGACTATTATTAATCCTGCGCCTGCGATTGCGTTGCCGATGGAGGCGTATCAGGGGTTGGGGCATCTCATTGTTAATGAGACGGAGGCTGCCATTTTGAGTGGGATTGAAAAGCCAACGAATTGGGATGAGGTTGCGGGGATTTTTATTGCGAGGGGGGTGAAGAATGTGATTATTACTCTTGGAGGAGAGGTGAGTTTTCTTCAATGTCTTTGTGAATTGATACAGAGATTTTTTTTTACTTACGGGATGTAATAGGGTGTCTTTTACAAGACAGCAAAACAGCAAGCTTCGTCTCAGCGAGGTGTCATTGTTCCAGCACGCAAGGTTCAAGTCGTTGACACAACGGCTGCTGGCGACACGTTTGCCGGTGCTTATACCGTTGCTGTAGCCCGCTGGAAAGTTATGTCGAAAGGTGCTGACTTCGATCTTGACGCGGCCATCGCGCAGGCAAACAGAGCTGCGTCAATGACTGTACAGAGGGAGGGCGCACAGTCAAGTATTCCATGGGCTGATGAAGTTCCAGAGTTATGAGTAAATCGCAGATTTGTAGCTATGACAGGCGGACTTAGATATGTAGGCCAAGAGTGAAACATTATGGGCACATGCATTTTCCATTCACATTGATGACTCTATTTCTAACCAGTAAATCCTAGAATTCAAAATATCCTTGGCCAACTTTTCCTATGTTTCCATTTCCATATCTCATCGGTGTCCATTGCAAGAACAGCAGTCACACTGATCTTCTTCCAGGTCGTCGCCTGGACAAGGTAGCCAGCATTGATCTGCATTGGGTATGTGGTTTTCGAGCATTGCGGAAGTATGTGGTGAGTGGTATTGTTTAGGTGAATCGATGTTCGAGGACGATATTGGTACGTGTGAGTATATGGAGTGGTAGGATCTGAAGTGCTGGATTTCAACGTTTCGGGGCAATATATCGTTTATAATAGATGGAAGTGTGAATGGCTTGAGTCAAGGTGGTCGTGTTGAGTTGGAGAGATGTGTTGTTCAAGTCGGGTCAAACGCAGGTATGATGCAGCTGGGAGTGAATAAAAGAACATGTCAGAGGAACCAGGCAGCAAACGACTTTCGAACAGCGCATGAAACACGATGCGTCACTTGCCATGTGGCCCAAAATGATGATTATAACACTGCTAGCAATTTAATTCTCCTTAACGAATCACAAACCAGAAAGGAGAAAAATGTAAGCGAACGTGACCCCCAACAAACGTGGGGAAATCCAGCTGAGCCACAAACGAGAGGATAACGGGGTGGCATGACCCAGACTTTGCATACGTACACCAGCAACTTTCCAGCGGCGGCCACCGCAGAAAGGGGCACCTACGTGGCTTTGCTTTTCGCAGCCACTTCTCCAAACCTCAGCCCTTTTTTCCCTCTTTTTGACCCTTACTTAGGCTGCGCAAATGTACTTCCAATCGGCCCAAACTTGATGTTGGAAAAGACAACTTGAGCATTAGGACTGCTGGCCTCCACATCAGCAGGCACACCGCTACCGGCTTCGCATGCGCCGCGTGCCACACCGGGCTTCGCTGGATCCGCGTCGACGGGGTAGTTGCCATCGAGCCAGAGCATATTGGCGTAGTGGTCGTCCCAAAGCGACATGACGAGGACCATGCCCAGCGCCATACCCTTACCCATCGAGTCCATACCGCCAAACTTATTAAACGGATAGATTTCTTCCTGGAAGACTTCCTTCTGCGTGTCGCACCACTGCTGGGTGATTGAATTTCCTTTCTAAACTCATCTATCAGCTCTCTGCATCCTCATTCTTTTCGGATGTACGCAAAAACTCACCATGCCGGGAACAGTAGGCTCGGGGTTCGCAAAGACTTTACCGTTTTGTACGTAGAAGCGCTTGAGTTCTGTGAGTTTGTTGCCGGAGCCCAGGAATTGCGTTACGACGGTCATCTTCTTGCTGGTGTCGACGGTCTTGCCTTTGCCGTAGAAGTCCGTCACGCCAACGCGGAAGGGGTTGAAGTCGCAGCCGTTGGCGTCGCAGGTACCGGCGTAGCGGTCGAGTGAGTAGGTGCCGCCGCAGTTGTCGTCGACGCAGACGGAGTAGCCTTCCGGTTGGCAGGAATGTGGGGTTAGGGCTGTGGCCATGGAATTTGCCTCCCAAACGTCCATCTCGGCACTGAAATGTTGTTAGACATGACCTTGAGGAGGAGCGAATGGACGTACCAGCATGCGCCCTTCTTGCCAATGCCTGCGTTGGGGTCGGAGGACGAGGCCGTCCAGCCTTCGGCGTTGGCTTGGCCGTCAATGTACTTCAAGTCTCGTGCGCACTGCGCATCGCAGTATCCTATGGGCTGTAAGAGACTTGTGCATGTTTTGTGACTTCATACTCCGTACCTGTTCCATATTTAGCACCTGGTGTTCCCTGACCCTTCTGAGGCATAGAGACAAAGTACAGAGCGCCATTCAGACCGCATGGCAACTGTGAGAGATCGACGTCGAAAGTGAATTCGTTGCCGATAAGTTGAAACATCTAACGCGCGAAAATTGTCCAGTCAGATTTTTTTGGATTCATAATATATCGAAGGAGGGCTTACCTCATAGTTGTTGGTATCCTTCATCAGATACGTACGGGACCCAATGTTGGTCGAGTACTGGCCCTTTGTAATGAACTTGAGACTAAGCGAGTTTCCAGACGTCGAGATACCATAGGTTCCACGGTAATCGGAGCCTTCAATCGCGCAGTTCTTGGTGCATGCTGCATTGTTGGGACAGGCGGTCTTGTTCCACTCGTTGCCGCTGTAGCAGTTCGTGTAGCCCCCGGTAGAATGGAGCCAACGCCAATTGGCATCAATGACGATTTCTCCATTCACGTTACTGCAGGACGTTCCGCCTGTGCCAGTGCAACGTTGCCATGTGATCTTTGGGTGCGTCTCTGTCTGTTGGGTTCCGATGACCCATCCGGATGCGCTATGAGCGCAGAAGGCCAGAACTGCCGCAGAGACAGAAACAAAAGACATGACTGAAAGATTGCTTGTTGAGATTGAGCGCTTGGAAGTGGTAATGACTGGATTTGTAGAGTGGGACGTTCATGCCTTATATATGCCCCCAGGCCATGCTTTGTTTCTACGCCAGCACACCTTTGAACGAGCTGTTATGAAAGTTTCTTGGTACATTTCATCAAATTCACTATTGGGGTGGATCTCTCAGTCACTAGGCTGAATATCCAACGGGCCGTACAATCCGAATATATCTCAAAGGTCTCACTGTGACGGCACCCAAGGAGCTACAGCATCGTGTGATCAACTTTTTCATAGGCCCTGTTCATTACTTCCTGAGTCGTGAAGGTGCGTAACCTTCATGATTGGAACGCTTTCGCCAAGTAGTCAATACTCCGGTAGATGAAGTCAAGAGCCGTATAGCTGGGGTGCAGTGCGGGGTTAGCGCATAACAGGCGCACTATGGCATGTGGGGCGGATGCAGGTTGGTGAAAGCTTAAACCAAGCTTCTTTGGTATTACGTTGGAGTTGTTAATATTAATTTGGATGTTGCACGTGGAGGCTTGGAACCGCTTGTTCCAAGAATGCATCGGAAGTGGCATGTGTGCTTGAGAGAGTATTTTGTGGGGTCGACAATCAAATATAAATAATGTAGTAGAGGCATAGCGTGAGATGGGGTCGCACAATGGGGGACATGCGGCGGATTAGCTCATGCAATGACAGGCGGCGCGTTCAGAAGGCTGTCTTGAGAGTATCTTGAAGGTTCTTCCTCAGACAGAAGGGCACTACAGAAGCTGACACTCGAAGACACCATTTGAGATTGAGCTGGAGTAACATACTAAAGTGGTTACGGGACCTGATATGAGTGCCGATCAGACGCCGTGAACAGTGCACCTATTCCTATGACTAAGATATGGCCAATGAACCTCAACACAGGGCCCACATCTTCATCTAATGTCTTTCCATACCATATCTCCGCTGTTCAATCAAGCGAAGCGCAGGACCACATGCAGCATAGACCTTTTAACCCGTGATCTAACATCAACCGTTACACTACAGTATAGAGAAACATGATCTAATACTGACAGAGATCATGCGACGATCGGTGTGTTTACGAGATTGTTCGGCTCTGTACATCGGGTATAAGTGAAGATATTATGAACCTTACAAGAAAAGCCCCACCATATGTATTCAGGTATCTCACTCCTGTCATGGACTTGCCTTGGAAATGGAACAACTGTGCTCATTCTTCAGGCTCTACAACAATTTTTTGACAGAGCCAACTTGACCTTTGCAACCGCAATTATCACCTTATACCGAGTGGCTCAGGATAAACTAATGGTCAAAATCCAAGCTTTAGATAGTGTTGCTGTGGATACTTTATTCATATGGTGGGGCTTGAAGTATTCTGCTCTTGTTCCTGGAACTGAATCGACTAGTTTTACAATTCTAGTTCGACAGGGCTAGTCTGGCTAGGGTACTGTCGATGTTTAGGTACGGTATGAGCGGACAGGGACTGGAGTAGATTGTTTACTGGGAAAATGTTGTATTCATTTCTTTGCTTCGATTTGTTGTACTCCAGATGTGTGTCGCTTCGTGTCAGTGCCTCTGGTTGACATGTCTCTTCACTATATCGTATTCAAATTTCCCAATTTTTGGGAGCGACAGGCAGAAACATTTCTAAAGCATCCTAATACCGCCATGGACCTTACCGGATGGTATTTGGGCACTATGTTTCATCTTTCGCTATCGCGCACGCGTTGAGTTGCTCAAATCGTCGTGTTCGCTCGTCAAAGGATACCCTTGAAATATGCCCCTACTCGAGCTTTACTTGTGTCAAAAATCTTACACTGAGCTATATTTTGACAGCGGCGAAATGTGCATCCCAGAGCTGAGCAGGCACAAGTACGTTGATTTACATTTGAGCTAGGATGCACGCCTTACCTGATATGGACTTACTGCTACCAGTAGTCGAAGTGACATGCAAGTAGTGCAACTGTCAACCAACAAGATGCGACAAAGATTACCATGTTCTTGAGCAAAACGAGTCACACATTTTCAGGGGAACACGAGAATGACGCAAGGATCCCCTAAGTTATTTACCCTGCACCGCGGAAGCGAGTAATGTCATGTGCCGAGTTAGGGGTAGGCTGGTCATTGGTTCTCCATATCGGGATCTCAAAAACGCTATTATCTCTACGAATAATTACCTAATTTAGATATTTAATAGCTTATTTTATAGCCCCTAATCTAAGCTTCGTTTTTGATTAATATAGTGATAAGTTAGCTATAATAGGTAGGAAGATATCTACGATTAGAGTAAAATATAGAGACCTAACTCTTAGTAAAGTAGGTAGGCTAATTACTTCTTACCTATTAGAGTTAGACTATTGATATCTCAGGCAAACATAAAGCTTAGATTAGAGGCTATAAAATGAGCTACTACATGTCTACATTGGGTAATTATTCGCAGAGATAATCGCGTTTTTGAGATCCCAATGTGGAGACCTAATTGTAACGGCTCAGCGTCCGTTGCTACATATATCCGAATGGGATCCGAACCAGGGTACGATCTAGCCTAGTGGGAAAAACGACTATATAAACCCAACCTCTATAATAGCTTATTANGTAGATTTTTGATATCCTTTCGTACAAGGCCTATAGGTGTCTATTTGAATCAAGGCTCGTTTGATGTCCCACGCACTCCTATATGCCTCTGAGTGACTCTACTGCCGATACTGATCCGAGTCGTCTTGCCTGCGCCGTTACACTAATGACCAGCCTACTTACGAAGCTATTCACCTTATCCTACTCGCCCTAACCCGGATCGAGCTTAGAGGAGTATCAGCACCTAACACCGTGTAACACTACCCTACCCTACACCTACCTAATCTTGGCGCCAAGAGTTGGGTAGGTGTAGGGTAGGGTCGCATGGGCCATCAGTGTAGGGTAGAGTAGGGTTGCCAAGAGTTGGATAGGTGTAGGGTAGGGTAGTGATTACGTGAGACCCTAACCCTACACCTACCCAACTCTTGGCAACCCTACCCAACCCTACCCTACCCAAATACCAGCCTGAATAAGTATAAGGAGGGGCGGTAGGACATATCTAATTAAGCTTCGGTAGTATTTCGGTAGTAATGCAGATCATCCCTGTCAGCAAGAACTTTTGAAAGGCACCTTTGTACACAAGCTGCACACAGACAACGAGGACTCTGCCCTTGAACTCGGGGCTTTCGCGTGCAGTCAAAATAAAGGTGGCACCGGCTACTTGGAGCGCGGCTGGCATGTGGTGCTGATGAAACATTTCTACCGAGTCTCTCACGTTGTCATGTTCCGCGTTGCTATTGGCCGTCCCACCAAACTGGATCTATTGGCCTTTTATGCACCTCACTCCCAACTACTGTTTCGGGTTATATTAGCAAGGAGATGGATCCTTATTTGGCAACAACGCCTTGAAGTCCTCAGGCTGATGATTGCATTCGTTGAACGTGCGCAAGGGTGGCAAGGGATTTGCGCATGTTTAAGTTGGGCTTTACTGCTCATGCTATGATGTTTGGGCATCCTCGATCAACCCGCCCATCTCCAATCTCAACATGAGGGTCTCCTCGGGTTGCGCCATTTTGGCGACAGGCCTCATCTCGTCCGTTTCTGCTCAAGACGCAAACATTACACTTGTTCCCGCGGCTACCGGTTTCGAAGGAGACAACACCAACTTCATCTACGGCGCATCACCACGCCTGGTTGTGAACGATGGTAGTGCAGCAGATGGGGGTTTCCGATCATTTGCCTTTTCGAACGGAACTTCCCTTGTAGAAAGTTTCCATGAAAGGAGTGGTCGATCCAAGATAGCGGTACCAATTCACGACATCGATGGCCGTGATCTCATTGTCAACATACCCGCGCCAGACTCCTTGATCAGAATCTTTGAGGGTCAAACAGGAAAGAGACTTAAAAGCAACAACAAGATTCAGCTTGGTGATTGGAGCACTGCCTGCACTTGGCGTAGCGCAAAGAGTGGGGAAAGCTACATCTTCCTGTTCGGAAAGAAAATGGTAGTGCAGTTTTTGATTCGAGATCGCAAAGACCAACCCGAAGTCTTAGAGGTAAAACCACCTGCGCCATCTTTTGAAGGAAACTCCGAAGCTGACTTATTCAAGATTCAAACTTTTCCTGTCGATATCGAGGGCGAGAGTTGCTCTGTTTTTTCCAATGGCCAAGTCTTCTTCTCAGCCGAGGACCGGCCATTGTACTCGTTCCAGGCTTCGGAGACCACCGGAGCTCCGGCAATCCAGACTGTGGCCAACGACGTGAAGGTTGCTGGCCTAGCTACCTACTATGGCACTTCTGAGGACTACCTTTTCGTCGCCCATGACACGACGCTTGATGTGTATGACGCGACAGTGAAACTAAAGGGAAGCATTGCATTGAGTGGAATATCAGAGCTATCCATTGAGGGAGGGCTCTCCATTCTGCAATCGGCTATTGCTGGCTACCCATCCGGTGTTGTCGCATTTGCCTTCGAGGGTGAGGAAGACACTGGCGTTGCTGTGGGCTCTCTCTCGGGTGCTCTAGAATCCCTAGGTATCCAACCCAACACCAAGTACAATCCCGCAAGCAAGCCTTGCAAGGATTGCGAGAGCGCCATTTCAAAGGCTTGTTCCTACAATGGATTTCTTGGTAACGCAGGATGTTCTTGCTTCGCCGGTTTTACTGGTCGGGATTGTTCTAAGACGGTCTGCAAAAATGACTGTTCTGGACAGGGAGATTGTGTTGGTCCTAACGTATGCAGCTGCAAAGACTCATGGGCGGGACCGGATTGCTCGTTTCTCGCTGTCAAGCCCAAATACGAGACTGAAGCTAACGGTGGCGACGGCGATGACCCAGCGATCTGGATACATGCCACCAGGCCGGATCAAAGCAAGGTCATTACTACAACCAAATCTGAGGAAGGCGAGGGCTTTGGTGTCTTTGATTTGCAGGGAAAACTCTTGCAACACCTGACGGCGAGCAAACCGAACAACGTCGATATCATTTACAACTTTACAGCTGGTACTCGCACAGTGGATCTTGCATATGCTGCATGCCGTGGCGATAACACTCTCTGGTAAGTAGCGAAGCTGTAGGCAAGAGACTTTGGCTAACAGGATGAAGTCTGGTGGAAGTCAATAGCACAGGCTATCTCAGTAAGATATCAGGAGGTATCCAACCTCTCCCCGAAGACTATGAACCATACGGGTCGTGTAACTACCGGTCCAAGGTCTCAGGAAAGGAGTACCTGTTCGTAAACAACAAAGCAGCCCAGTATTTGCAATACGAGCTTACGAGCAGCTCCAATGGTACCTTGAAATCTACCCTCGTACGTGAGTTCCAAGGTGGTTCCGGCGGTCAGGTTGAAGGTTGCGTTAGCGATGATAGTGCTGGATACGTGTTCATTAGCGAAGAAGGGCTAGGGATCTGGCGATATGAGGCCGAGCCCAATGGCTCTAAGACGGGTGTTCAAATCGCCAAGATAGGTGATGAGAGCGGTCTCCAGGCTGACGCGGAGGGGCTCACGCTTGTGCCTGCTAAGTCTGGACCTGACGGCTATATTATGGTCTCGTCGCAGGGAATTTCGTCATACATCATCTATGAGCGAGCACCGCCGCATGCGTACGTTGGCAGGTTCACTATCGTGGACAACAAGAAAAAGGGAATCGACCATGTAAGCAATACGGATGGAATTGCTGCGGTGGGCAACGCACTTAACAAGGACTTTCCACGCGGCTTGTTTGTTACGCACGACGATGCTAATGAGCTTGCTGAGGGAGGGACTGCGAAGGAGGCGAGCTTCAAGCTGGTGAGCTTGGTCGATATATTGGGAGAGAAGAGAGCGAAGAAGTTAGGCTACTAGATATTTATGTATGTAGCAAGCGTCAATAATGGACTGGTTCGATCGTCCCAATAAACACCCGCTGGAATGATTATGCAATTACGCTAAGAGGATGATACGCGTGGTGCTACGCGTGATCACGTGCGCGCACCGACCATTTCGATGCTCATTTGTAGCGGGGCGGGCCGACGAGGATGAAGATGCCCCGCTGTGAAAGTCACTGTGCACCGTAACCCCTCTGGACGTGTGGTAAGACGTGGGGCCGGCTTCTCAATCCAACAGAATCGTAGTTCAGTGCCAGGATGTCTGTTGAAAGCCCAACGCAGAAGCTAGACCAATTGCCAGCCGAGATGCTTGAGTTCACGCTTCTCAAGGCGGCAGGCTCCCTGGCTCCACGACTTGGCCGCCTGTCGGTGCCAGGACGCAACAAGATACTGACCCCTGGCTTCATCGGCAGCACGTCGCGCGGTATCATTCCGCACATCTCCCAAGATAATTTCCAGAAAAAGGTCGGCCTAGAGGGCGTCTATGTTCCGCTCGAAGATTGTGGGTAGCGCAGCCATCAGCAGCTCCAGCACATGGCTGACTCTTTGCAGTCGTGGAAAAGCACCCTCAAAAAACACCGCCTGTACTGAAGTATGACGTTCCCGATCCACTCCGCAACTTCATCGCTCTCCCTCCAGAGACACTCCTCGTCCTGGGTGCGCGTCGCAATCCGCCCATACCGAGCCCCCACGCAAACTCAAACACGGAAGTAGGCCTCTTGACTTCTGTCGGCTTCACCACTGTCTCGTCGGAATTTTATGCCGCCGCTACGAACAAGCTACGACCGGATGTTGTTGTCGGGCTGGCCGATATTCCCTTTGGCCAGGAGTCCGTGAGCCTCAAGCGCAAAGACAGGATGAGCGACAGGACCGAGACGTGGCTGCGCGATTTGGTCATTAAGCAAGGCACAGTAGATAATCAAGGCAAAGGTTGCGCTATCTTTGCGCCCATACTGCCTATTGAGCGCGACCTCCAGTCATGGTATCTCGAACATCTACTCGACGACATGGTGGACAAAATCAGCGGTGTTGCTATATACGACGCCTATCTACTCGATGACCTCCCAGACCAATTGCACCACCTTCCCAGATTGTCTTTCCATGCCCCAGCCACCCCCCACGAGCTTCTCCGTCACATCAGCCTGGGCATGGATATATTTACCGTCCCTTTTGTAAACGATGCTACAGATGCTGGCATCGTGCTCGATTTCACCTTCCCAGCGCCCAGGAACGAGTCAAGTGACACTACCCGCCGCTCTTTAGGAATTGATATGTGGGGTGGCCATCATGCGCAATCCATCACCCCGCTTTCAGACGGCTGCACTTGCTATGCCTGTATGAAGCATCATCGCGCCTTTCTTCAACACCTCCTTGCTGCCAAAGAAATGCTAGGTTGGGTGTTGATTCAGATGCACAATCACGCCATCCTCTCAGCTTTCTTTGCTGGAGTACGAGCCTCAATCGAAGCTGGAACCTTTGATGCTGACGTGGCTGCGTTTGAAGCCTACTACGAACCCGTCCTTCCCGAAAAGACTGGCCAAGGTCCGCGTGTGAGGGGCTACCAATTCAAGAGCGAGTCACATGCCAAGAAAGAAAAGAAGAATCCGAAAGCATTCAAGAAGTTCAGTGAAAGTGAAATCTTGAAGCTCAAGGCTGCACATGGTCAGCAGCCAAACTCGAACCCCGAAACAAGAGACTATATTGACGATGAGGCTCTGGTGGGGTTAGTAGGCATGGAACACACTGCCGTTGATCCGGATCCTCTCAAGCAAATAGATGGTTTGGTCATAGAAGACGATAGACCAAATTGAGCTCTCTGAAGCTCCATTTCATGCCATTTCATACCATTTCATGCCTTTGACATCTTAAATACACAATAATCATGAGGCCGCCTCATAGTCCCTTCTTTTCCTGCAGCATACGAATTCACCTGATCGAATCTCATGTCCGCATGGTCAAACATCCAATCCTGACATCGCACGTCATTTCTGGCTCGTCTTTTTCGTATGCAGTCTCGCTTGCGGTTATCAAAACGTGGTCAACGTCCAATCGAAGAAACTTCGCACCAGTACTGGTAGTAATGTCGGATACCCAAGATGGCGTCGAGGAAATGCTTGAGAATTGCCATGTAGATTTGGCCTCTCGTACGAGTGGAAAGGACTTGGAGAGACTGGCGTATAAAACAAAGAAGAAGAGATGGATCATTATGCTGAGCGATTGCGCCTGGCCTTTTGTGCTGTTTTGTTCGGAAGAAGGATGATAGTCAATCTCTGCTTAACCTTGCAGCCAAACTATTGTCCCTCATCGCAATGACCTCTTGATCTATAATCCTTCAAACGCAGAGATACTCCGCTCTCTCCGCGCTATGTGCGCATTTCCATCAGTTTATCACGCCTTGTACAACATGGAAAGAGGTGATGGTACAACACATTTGATCCCCCATCTACATATCCTTTGATTGCTGCTGCTTCCCGCGGTAAGTTACCGAACCGGTACCGCAGCATGCACTGTGGTTTCAATGGTTGGTAAGCTCAGGTTTGGTACTACAAACGAAGAAAAGGGTTAACTGTTTTCATGCTTAGCGATGCTTAGCAAAGCTTGCGTGGTATGAGACCTGACTGGTCCCGTCAGCAATCACCATGATATCCGTTTCACTGTTGCACTCGAATGGCAACATGCTCCAAAAAGGTCTCTCAGTACTTCGCAACGGACTGTGATGAGCGAAAAGAGGAGGCGGCTGGTCGCCAAGTACAAGTATCGCATCATGATTGGTGTAGTGCGGTTGTGCTAGAGCTGCATCAGCTACCACACACCTTTCTCAGCGTGTCTTCCAACCTTCGGTAGTTTTCTTCTTTAAATTTTACATCCAGGTTCTCTATATCATATTACATTGCATTCCTGATGCGATGCGCAAAGTTCTCTGAGCTGTTCGAGCATACAAGAGATAAGAATCGAACGGCATCGCACTTGAGCAGGTGGCGAAAACACGCCTCATTCAGAGTATGTGATTGGCATACGAAAGTATGGCTTGACCATATGGTCTCAAGCCACCTCTGCCTCAACCTTCATGTTCCCCACTTAGTGTTGTGTGCTAGTGCAGCCACCTATCTGAACCCTACGCCACAGCGAGCATTGCGCTGGTCAGATCCAGACAATGCTGACGAGAATTTCAAGCACCTGCCACATGATCCTACACACGTCGACCTGCAAGAGCGAGTCAATGATAAATTTCTCGCTTCTGCTGTCAGCCGTTGGCTTCAGGATTCGTTTAGATTGTGCTCGGTTGCTAGTCGCCCGTCGCTGGTTCTTCAGCCAGCACACTATTGAACGATGGGCTGGTGCCATCTGGCCTGAGACAAGGGGCGTTCTAGCTCTCAGTCAGCCGTGGCGCAACTCAATCAAGCCATAAATTCAGTGAGACTAGATAGATATATCGCGCAATGTCCGCATTTCGCATCGATAGCAAAACAGCACCATCTGGTATTCGTCGTTATGGCTGATATCGAAAAATTCGATCTTGTCGTCGTTGGTGCAGGTATACACGGCCTAGTCATCGCCAAAACATATCGCGATGTTCACCCCGAGGCGTCAGTTTTGGTTCTCGATAAGTCCCCCTCAATAGGAGGGGTATGGGCAAAAGAAAAACTGTACCCAGGGCTTCATACAAACAACCATTTCCGCACGTTCGAGGTACATGTGCGCCTCCAGGAAGCAAGGCGAGTGAGGCTGATTCGGGTATAGTTTAGCGACCTTCCCATGGATACAGAGGGCTTCGACCTTGTAGACGGTCATATACCTGGAGAACATGTCAACAAGTACTTGTGCAGCTACGTGGAAACCTTCGATTTGGCAAAACACATGCGTCTCGAAACCAGTGTCAAATCAGCCGTGGACCAAGGATCGATGGGCTGGATATTAACCGTCTCACAACATACAAACTCGACCGAAATAGAGCACCAAATCGAGGCTTCGAGGTTAGTCGTTGCAACGGGGCTGACTTCGGAACCCTCGATGCCCAAACTTGATGGGAAGGAAACATTTGGTGCACCAATATATCACTCGAGCGAATTTGCAAAAGCCGAGGGCGGCCCGGGACCCTACAAGAAGATTACTCTACTCAGCGGCGCCAAATTCTCATGGGATATTGCATATGCTTATGCCTCCGCAGGCGTCCAAGTGGACTGGATCATCCGGGAATCAGGCCACGGTCCTTGTTGGATGATGCCAAACCGTCTGACGCCTTTAAAGATCATCCCGGAGCTACTTATACAAACACGACTGATTACATGGCTTAGCCCGAGCATGTGGGATGATGGCTTCACTTACATCCGCAACTTCTTCCATCAGCATTGGTTCGGAAAGAAGATCTCAGACGCCCTTTTCAAGAAGATGCAGCACGCCACTGAACAAATCAACGGCTACGATTCCCATCCCGAAACCGCAAAGCTCAAACCCTGGGACGACGTCTTCTTCATCGGTACAAACCGCGGTCTCTTGAACTATAAAAGCGACTTCTTCGAGCTTGTGCGCAACGGCATGATCAAAGTTCACATCGCAGACATCTCGCACCTTTCTCCCCACACCATCCACCTCTCCACCGGCACTGCAATCGAATCCGACGTCCTAATATGCGGCACAGGCTGGAAAGACACACCTCAGCTCGACTTCCAAACAACCAAAGACCTCGGTCTCCCCGGCCACACCTCCAAAACACCAAAAGACCACATCCGCGCCGCCGACGCCCAAATCTTCGCCACCTTCCCCAAACTCCAGAACCAGCCTACCCCACGCAATGCGTCTGCAGAAAAGACTAGCAAGGAAACCCAGCAAGAACCCTACCGCCTCTACCGCTACATAGTGCCTCCCGCATTCATCCCAACCCGCACCCTCGCCTTCGCTGGCGCCTACCGCAGCCCCGCCACAACCATAATATCGCAAACCCAAGCGCTATGGATAACCGCCTACTTCGACGACCGCATCCCGTCCCTCCAGAACATGACAGCATCCAAGCGCATCATGTACGAAACAGTGCTGCACACGCAGTTTAGCAGGTGGCGCTACAGCCGCGGGTTCGGGGCCAGGTTCCCGGATATGTTTTTTGATTGTTTACCGTATGTGGATCGGTTGTTGAGGGATGTTGGGGTGAGGAATGAGAGGAAGGGGAGTTGGTGGAGGGAGAGGTTTACGGCGTATATGCCGGGGGATTATAGGGGGGTTGTTGGGGAGTATTTGGCGTTGGGAAGGTGAGGCATGCGGATTGTGATATGATATGATAGATTCCGTTGTATGTAAAAGAAGAGGGTGAGAGGCATTTGCATCGTTTTCTCTTTAAACTGCATACTGCTCAAGTGTGCCTCGTCGCACAGAGTTCCAGAGCTTCGTGTACTTGGAATCTAAGTGCTGGTATCCAGTGCACCCCCTTTTTTGCTCTCGACAAACCCAAAAAGGACATCCATCTTTTTGATAGTGTCATCTCTCAACTTCTTTTCTGGCCATTCTTCACTTGGGAGATTCACATTCTTCTCACCCCTCAGCTGTCTCGGTACAGGCACATTCTTTCCAGTCCTCTCATCCATGAAGCCATAGAGGATAAAATCCATATAGTACTTTTGGACGTGTAGGTCCCTTCGGATGCCCTCAGCAATGACCATATCGACGGCGTGCTCCATCTTGGCACCGTCCCTGTGCCAGCCCTCACGAGCCAAAATACCCAGTGGATCCTCCTCTTCGTCCGTCATATTTTGAAACATAGCGTGCATTTGTGCATCAAGATCATCTGCATGGTATGTCCTGACCACCATACTACTTAACGTGTCGTAGCCCAACTTGAGCTTGCCACTCAGCACCTTCCACAGCGTACTTAAACTCTTCTGGCCGAGTAGCAAAGACGCAAGCTGACAACAACCATTTCCTAGAATAGGGTCTGAAAAACGCATGTCGAGCTTCACAATAAGAAGCTGAAAGTTGATGATGTCGGCATCAGCCCAGATCTCTTTATCCTTAAGGAAAGAGAGGCGCAGCTTTGTAGTTTTCATCTCCATGAGACACCAAAACTTCATGAGTGTAGCTTCACATGCAGCAGGTACCCTATGGCCTTCCATGCTGAGGATTGTAAGGATGGATCGAACAATTTTCTGGCGCCAGAGTATCATGCCGACCCAGCGGAAGCCGGGCACATCACGCGCTAGCCACTGCCGCTCATCCATTGGCCTGAGCATCGGATCTGAGATGCATAGTTGCGGATACAGCACCCAGCTGAAGATGTGACCGGCCAGAGGAGCATGGCGACGGGCATAGTCGTGGATGAGTGAGACGCTGTACTTGTTGAGGCGATAATGAAACTCCTTATCAATGGCGTAGAGGTCGATAATGGAAGAATACGGCAGGCGGAGGGCAAACTGAAAGAAGAGGTTATTGTGCCGGAGGATAGCCTTGTAGACGCTAAATGGCCGCTTTTGGGTGTCATTTCGAGGGGGAGAGTCCGTTTGAGACGAGGGAATGTCTAGACCCCACGTTTCAGAAGCAGCATTGTGATGCCGGTGATGGTAGCGACGGAGGACGCGGGGCGGAGGGTCCTGGGAATACAATGCAGATATCTCCGTGTTCGACGTATCTTCTACTGTGCGCTTTCTATTTTCATTGGTGCTATGAAAGTCAAGATCCATCGTGTTTGATGTACCATTTGGTGTGGGAGTGGCTGTCCAGTTTGGGCCAGCCCACTGTGGGATCAGTTAGTAGTACCAACATCATGAAGCAACCTAATGAAGGTGAAGGTGAAGGTGATGCCATGCCAAAGGCTATGTGAATTCTAGGAGAGTGTGTGGTTTGACATGTGCTTGGGATTTTTGACGGCGCGCCGACGTCATTGGCCAGTGCCCATGCAACCCCGCAGTCGGCTCTTTATCGCTCGTCCCTGCATAATTCCAATAGTGCTGGCCAAATTCGCGTCCTGAACAGCTTCTTTGTTATGAGTGGTATACTCGAACCCAAATAATCTATACTGAAGAGGAGCTGCTTGGTAAGTAAAGGTACCGTACTTTTGTCAGCCTGCTAGTAAGACGCCCTCGGAGCTCATTTCCTGACTGGAAATAGTGCTATCTTCCACGCCTAGGCAGCAGGCCATCAACATTGCGACCATCCATCAATATACACCCATATCCAAGTCATAAATCGCGTGTCATGGCTTCAGCTTCTCTTAGCAGCGCGAAATCGCGGCTTCCCAACGAACTTGCCCTTCTCGTAATCGACCATCTCGAAGGCAGCAACAAGGCTCTATGTGCGCTCGCCCAGACGTGTCGTAGCATGCAGCATCTGGCTGAAGAGCGACTCTACAAGACAGTCGAGCTTCTCTCAGTCAAGAATCTCCATGCCATCATCTCAGCCTTCACGCTGCGCCGTGAGCGCATCCGCGCCGTACAAACACTGAAAATCCTATATCAATACCAGCCAGGGGACTTGAAAGACAGCGACGAATTGCGGGGGACGTTCAACGAATATGTCGCCGATATGGTCAATCTGCGAGATTGGCACATTGAAAGTCCATATGACAACTTTCATTGGGAAGGTGCTGGTGGCGAGGCTTGGGTTGAAGGCGACATGCAGCGCTTCCGACGCGCACTGGACACTGCATGCGCAGAAGGCCCCAGAGAGGCAGACAACATTCTGGCAGAACAACGCCTTGGCAAACATGTCGAGCGAACCGTAGGACTGGCTTTGCTAGAGCGTCTGACGATTCATTCACACGGTGCTGACACGGATTTCTGGGAGTTCAATGGTTTTCATTGTCTCTTTCAACACCCCACCCTTCGCCATCTTCATATCTCTTGCGTTGCTTTTCCGGATGCAGAAATTCCCCAACTTGCCACACATATCGGCAAAACACCCCTAACATCACTGTATTTTGACGAGTGCGAGCTTCAGCCTAAGAGTTTGCTGAGTATTTTGCGCACACCAGCACGACTCAAGTCATTGACCCTCGGCGAAAACGTCTTCAATGTCAACCGGTCGCGGGGTGCCAAACCTATTCTATCTAGAGACCCAGGCGCTTCGTTGAAGGCACTATCGGCTGTTGCGCATTCACTAGAAAGACTTACACACCTTGACCCTGGGTGGCATCTAGATACGAGCCCGCATGTTTTTCGCAGTGTTCGGCCTCCTGGCGAGGGCATGCGCAACTTCCATGCTCTTGACTACATGGAGTGCGATACAACTTCATTCCTGCATACAGCCGTTGTAATGAACCGCGATCTAGCTCCTCCTCAACTTCACACACTTCGAATCCGTCGACACTGGGATGTTCCTGTTGATTTTTGGGATCATCCCCCCGACTTCGATCATTACGCTGCGCTCCCGTCCCTCGACACCCTTGAACTTATGCAATCTTCATACATCTGGTAAGTTATAGAACAATAGTGATACTATTGGAAAGAGGCCGCTCGGTCTTGTAGCATTCACTGACAATGAGTAGGCTCGATCTGTCTGAACCAAGCTACATCTGCAACCCTGAATCTCTTCGCAATAGGCATGCAAAGGCATACAAACTTTTCAAAGCTGGCATCAATCTCCGGATGCTGATAGAGTTGCATAAGAGCCCAAGCCTGATACCCCCATATTTACACAATGAACGTGTTCCAGTCGTTCATTGTGTGTACGATGCCGATGAAGTGGGTTTCCGTCGGCATATAGTAAATCCGGGCGACATAGTGAAATTTGGTGTACCGCCCCCTGAGACGGATCAATTAGGCGAACTTGACATCAACGAGATATTAACTAGCACGCGGCGTGATCTACATCGCCTGAGGCACAAGTTTGTGCGACCTGGTCGCCGGCTTCCATTCATGGAAATTTTTGAAACCGATGAAGAGGCTGATGCACTGGTTGACACGGACGACGATTTCGAAGTAGACGACCTGGAGGAAGATGATGACATGGAGCTCGACCTTGAGCTGGATGAAGACGACGGGTTTATGGACGACGAGAGTCTGCAATTTTTCGAGCACGATGGGGAGTTTTACGTCACCATGTACGAAACGGCTACCGAGGATGAAGACGAGGAAGAAGAGATGCACGATGCGGTAGAAAACCAACAGACTCATCCTAGCGATGTTGACTGAGGAGGGGTAGTAGCAGGGAAGTCAGCATGTAAGGTTTCAGTACTAGCAAGTTTACTAAACATGTATTTGATCGCGATTCAAATCATACAAATAGTACTCGGGAACCACTCTCGTTAAAACATTGCCCAATCAAATGTGTTGGGATAAATCCACTATACTCTGATCATCGTATCAGAGAGCGAAGAAAGTAACCAATAACGCCGGATATGTTGGAAGTCTGAATAAAGAAAGATGTAAGAAGATAACTGGATGACCTGGTTAGTCTAGGCCTTTTCATCATTTACTTCAGATCTGCGTCATCTTACCTAAACACCCCACGCTTCACCTTGGACAACCCAGAAACTGTGACGAACAATGCATATTTTCTCTGCTCGGCAATTAGTATTTTTCTTTCAATCCTGTATGCTTTCATGACGACTGATGTGAAGTATACCAAAGGAAATGAATGGTCTTTCAACGTACTTTGTCATCCAACTTCCATCTGCCTTTGCTCTCCTCGTCTCTAGCAGCGGTGGTACAAACGGCAGTGCACACGCAGTCACCACGTAGCTGGTTGCGAGCGAGGCTTTAAGGCGGTAGTGAGGGTCGCGTGGCATGCGTGTTGAGTAGCGGCGGATATGCGACATTGCGTGTGTTGAGAGGGCCATTGTGACTACCTTTTCCTTTCCTTTGTTTCCTTTCGTTATAATTTCTGCCGATTGTTTTTTTTTCGTGGATAACGTGTGACTTGAAGATTTGGTTTTGAAGTAAGAAGAGATAAGGTACTTTGGATCCGGGAATTATAGGACAAAGGCGACAGCGATGGCTGATGTAGTTGTATCACTTAGCCCTCCTCCTCTTCGCAATGTGGGGCTGCGTAGGTGGCTTCGGGTCGGGATATGTGGGGTCTTGTAGCGTCTTACGCGTGTGTGGCTCTGCCTTTTGGGGTAATTCTTGGTTTGACTTTTGGGAAGGGAGCACAAGATCAGCTGTGAGATCTTCTTAAATTCCGAGTGGGGATGTGTTTCGAGATATAGGTGGTATGGGTGCCTGGCGGTAGTACGTACATATGACTCTTTGTGCTCTCTTTTTAGGCTCCCAGGCAAGGGGGGAGGGCGGGAAGGGAAGGGGTACTTCACACAAGCCGCGGCCGTGGGCTAGAACGAAACGAGTAACCGGACGATCACAGGTACAGTCAGTTGGTGGCGCGGAGTTTCTGACGTGATAACTATTTGCCGCTAAGTTGTGTTCTCCGCGCTTTGATTCCGCGCTTTGTTCCCGAGACTATTTAGCATCTACATGCTGCCCAACCAAAAGGGAAATCTGCTCACAAATCTATTTTTTTGCTGACAATTTGCACATGTGTAAGCTGACTGAAGGACCATCACAAGTTATCCATTATCATCTTGGTTTGGCTTAGTGTGACTGGCGCGCTCGTAAGATGTTCGGTTGCGTGCACAGTGGGTTTACCTACTTAGCCACCGCTTGACTTGCCCCCTTCACATTGCATGGATCACACCACTGTCGGACGAGTGCGTGCGAGAGTGCTACGTTGCGGCAAAGAATTTTCCCGCTTTCAATGGAGAATAAAGGATCAGCAACGAATAGCGTGTTGATCACGACATAATTGCTGCGGTCACGTACTGCGTCTTTTGCGAGGTAAGCTGTGCATGTCAGCAGAATTAGCTGCGACATGATTGGTTAGGAATAGTCAGCATTTCCAATCAACATTCCTTCGTCACTTTTTTCTTTTACTTGAATGGTATTTCCAAAACAAGGCATTCCGGACTGTGATTTTTGCGTCCTTTTCTTGGTCTTGCGGAAGCAAAGCAGCGGTCGCAAACATGTCAATGTCTGTGAATGCATATCTTATCGATCATTGGAGATTCACGCTGAACGCGCGGAATGTCGTCATCGAGCTCACGTGTAGCCTTTGAGTCTCATCCTGTTTCCCTACTGCATCTTCACACAAACGCTACTGTTCAGAAGCAACTAGTTTTGCAGGTTGTATACTCCCGATTTGCAATCTTTTACCAAAGCAATTACATCACCACCTTTCCGCTTTTCAACGCATGTCACCGCCAACTTTCATACCAGCGTCAAACCACTTCTGGCTTCAGCACTTCACACGACACCCAGCATGCGACGTACAATATGAAGCTATTACATCCCTACACGTAATCCAATACCAGAGAAAGAAATCCCGCCGTGTCTTTTCGTTAACCATATCAATTAAAACATCAACAACCTCCACACTACTAACCCCACAGAACCTTACCCAAACCGCAACCTCCACCAAACTAGCACCACTAGTCCTCGGCACGCAAAATTCCTCGATCTTCACAAAAAGGAAGCTCAACGCACTACGGCAAATTTGACAATCGATTATGCTAGAATCTGCTCTAATGCTACTGAGCCAACGAAAAAACGCAGTAATGTGAAACTTCTAACCCACCATCGCTCCATCGCGTACCAGTCTCCTTAGCTCAATTGGGAGAGCGCCAGACTGAAGTCTTCTCAGTCACAATCATCTGGAGGTATCGTGTTCGATCCACGAAGGGGACAATATAAAAAACGTGCCTGGGGTTATACCTTGGGATATGTCGAACAATATTTTTTTGCTTAGTCTTGCTTAGCTACCTCTTTTTTCCTTCTCTACATTCCTCATCTTGTTTCGTGGCTGGAATTCGATTGGTCTTAATTGTTCAGAATCACAAGATGTAAGGAGGTACTGAATGAGGATAAACATATATATATTTTATCTTTCTCTATCTGGGTTTTCCATCTCCATATATGACTAAAGGTATATACATTGTGGTAAGAATAAGTGGTGGGCCAGCCCTCTTGTTTTTTTTCTAGCGGTTTAAACGCCAACCCTTGCTTCCATGCGATATAGCTCTGCTGTTGTTTTTACTCAAATTTGATGATGAGGTCGCTTAGCTAAGGAACTTGGAGGCAAAGCGGCGGAGTCTGTTGTTGCGGTTGCCTTGGTTCTGGCCGTTACCGTTGCCCTGGTTTTGGCCACGGCCCTGGCCTTGACCTTGGCCTTGACCCTGTTGTCCTTGTTGACCCTGACCCTGTTGGCCGCGCTGTCCCTGGCCCTGTCCCTGGCCCTGTTGTCCTCGCTGTCCTTGGCCTTGGTTACCGTTCTGGTTACCCTTGTTGCCGTTGCCAGCATTGGCATCTTGAGTCGCTTCCGGCAGAAGAGCTATGAAGCACGTTAGTAACTAATCCCCATTCATGATCAAAAAATCAAACGCACCGGAAATGGCACTAGCACCCTCGTTGCCCCCCGCAGCACCAGCAGCCTGGTTGGCCGCGATGGCAGCAGGGAGATCTTTCTGGTTTTGAAGGATTTGTGCAGAGATACCCTCAAGTGTCTGAGCAGTATCGACAGCTAGTGGCAGTGAGTATATATACATGGGTGTGCTAGCGCCAGGGGGGATAATGAAATAAAATATTGAACTTACCAGAAGCGGCCTTGCTAGTACGGCCAGTGCCATCAGTCTGTTGAACGGCGAAGCATCCACCGAAGGGACCGGCAATAGCGTTGTTGCGGCATCGAATGGTGCAGATGTTTCCAGTGGATGCACCAAGGCAGTTGAACTTGTCGGGCATCTGGACATTGATGGTGAACTCCTTTTCCTTGGCTTGGGAGAGACCGAAGGAGCCAGGGACGTTGTTGGATACCTTCAGGGGAGTGAAGGTAGTGACGGCATTGCTAGTCTCGTCCATGTCGCACTCGAACGGTCCAGCTCCATCAGCATTGACCTGGTGGATGGTGACTGCCAGGGTGGAGCCAGCAGAGACTTGGGCCATGCGACCAGCGGCGAGTTCGTTCTCAGTCTGCTCGCCAATGTCGATGTTACCAGCAATTTCAGTTCGTCCACAAGCATTGACAATATTTTGGGTAATCTCCTCGTCGCGAATGATGGTGGCATCCTGCTGGCAAGGAGAGATTGTGGTGCAGTTACGGGCAAGCTCGGGGTCGACTATAGCAATGTCAGAACATACTCAACATCTTGAGCGACCTAAGAGACATACCCAAGAATCCCTGGCTTTCGCCCTTGTCACCAACAGCGGCCAAGATGACTGCGTGCGAGTGCACAGTAGTAAAGAGAGCGGCAAGCGCAACGGAAGTAGCAGCAGAGAAATACATATTGATGGGATTGGAAGGAAGGTTGGCGCTCAGCGCTGAGAAATGAATAGAATGGAAAGAAAAGAGAGTAGAGCGTCAAGCTGTAGAAGTGAAGGTTGGGGATGGGTCATTAGCATCACAACATCTAGACAAGATATATACTACAGAGCATGATCAAGTAAGCCGTCACATCGCCCATGGAATTACTCGAGACTGATTGTAGTCCCCACGTCCATGAGACGTGCGCTGGTATAGGTCAAGGGATGGGTGTATGCGAATTGACTCCTGAGCGCCTCAGTCAATACTTGGCAAAGAACAATGGAGCACGGAATGGTGCCAAGAGAGGAACAAGCTGGTGGTAGTAAACCTCAAAAGTGCTTGTACGGGATCCGCAGCGGAACTGCCTAGCTTGTCGTGGACGTTTACGCGCTGTGGTGAGGCAATTCCACTGGCTTCAAACTTCGAGAACCCACTGCGCATCATGCTGTAAGTAATCTGGCGCTTGCTAGATCGGTAAGGACTGGTCTTTTCTACAGAAGGATGGCAATCATGAGGCGTGAGAGGTTTCGATGCCCGAAAAGTCAAGTTTCGAATCAAAGCGTAGCACGCCACGGCGAAACATGACGGCTAGGAACAGCCGATCTTGACCGTTCCTGGCCCAGTACGCTGGAAACAATGCACGGACGTTTCCTGAAAATTCAGGGCGAAGTGTGCTTTTGCGAGGTTGAGGGAGTTCGGGAGGTGGTGTTTTGAGGGTAGGCGCCGTGAAAAGCGGGTCTTTTCCGTTACATGGTTGTGGGGCCACCCGTTGAAGGTAGCAGTGGCGGCTCCTCGTGCGGTGGGCCTCGGCAGAGGCGCATTGAAATCCGTCTGTCTTCCTCTTTGACGGACGGCATATCTGCTTACGATTGTGGTGTCTGTCTGATAAAGTGGGTCAGTTCTGATGTGAGACAAAGTCGAAGGGATTCAGTTAGATGAAGAAGGGGAAAAGGAATTGTATACGAGAGGATGAGGGCAGTGAAGCAACTGCTCATGTGAATTGAGTATGGGCTTCAACTGTTGTACTTTTTCTTTACTCAAAAAAAGCTACGCAAACAGTATGCTAGTTGTATGAGTACGTGTAGCAGGCGGACTGAAGTCTGGTCGTATGCTCGTCCAGTGTTGTAGGTGATAGCTACCGACTCTCGGGAATAACTCTAGACATTGCAGCACAAGTCCACGGTTCCTTCGGCAGTTAGCGAGAGAACCAGCTTACAAATTTGATACAATTGGGAAGGAGTGAGCCGTCTGTAAGGGGCATCTACGACCCAGTCTGGATGGTATGCTTTCACATTCGGGTTACCTTGCCTCGAGAGCGCATGAGAAATGGATAGAGCGGCACGTTTACGGGGCTTCGGTTGTCAAACTGGTGTATCTAGACTAGGCCAAAGTGTGCATTGACGGGTGGGTTCCGCTATGATTCTGTGTTCCGCGCAAAAAACGGTCTTGTCTCGCAACCTTGAAGCCGCGGAGTCTCTTACGGGGGTGCGTTGGAAACCGATATGATTCGCGCCCTTTCTCAAAAGGGCTGAACTTACTTGGCCTCAGTTCTTTCACTTTCATGTGATGATTTATCTGGTGGCTGCTGCATTGCATCATTTTGTTGTGTTTGATGCCTAAGATGGTTATCGCACGATGGATGATGAGTTTAAACTGGTCCAGGAAGGGACGTAGCAAGCGGGGGCTGATCCAGACGATAACACTGAGTTTCCAGTCATTGTACGTTTCTATAGTTGATAATAGAAAAACAGACCGTAGCACTCTGAAAGGTGGCAGGAACTATGTCCAGACTATACCGCAATGTACAATTTCCACCGGTTCAGTGTCCGCACATCGACTCCGCTAGCTGAGAAGGACTCGAATAACCATCTTTCACAAAACAAAGGAAAAAGAGTGATTAATGACTCCAGTAAAGGGTACGAAGAAAGAACCACTATCCATCCTCAATGAAGGTCGACAAGTAATCCCATGTTCAAGTAATGGTAAGCCCCATTGGCACCGCCACACCCCTCGTCCCCGCAACCCACGCCCCAATCGCCGAATAATCGCCGTCAGCCTCGCAACAATCAGACCACTTTCATCACTACACCTGCAGAAAATCGACAAGCTCTTTCCCCCAGCCCAACTTTTTCCTTTTTGCTACCCCAATTATTACACACAGCGCACTGCGCGACCCCAAAAATGAACACAGTAAGCACCACCCCAAAACCCTCTTTGTCAATTTACTAATTCCCAATACCCATAGGTAAAATCAGTCTAGTACGTCACACCTCCCCCATACCTTTCCCCCAACCTCCCACACCCACTAACCCCGATGCCTCCCACAGCTATGGCTGGGCCACCCTCATCGTCGCCGGCGGCGGCGCCTATTTCTTCGCCAAACGCAGCATCAACGCCGACCGAGCGCACAAAGCAGAGCTGGACCGACAAAAGCGCGCGCGCATCTACGAGATGGAGCACGGCATACAAGCACCCCCGACGACGCCTTTGAACCCGACGGCGCGGCCAGGGTCAACGCAAGCGGCGCCGCAGAGCGTGACGAGTGAATTGGGGCGGCTGCGGAGCGAAGGAGGAGGGAATGGGGGCAATGGGGGTATGGGACAGACGGAGGGGAATCCGAGTGTGCAGGCGAGTCAGGATCCGGCGCCTACGAGGCATGCGCCTACGGATGAGGGGCAGAGGGTTGGGGAGAAGAGCAAGTACGAGGCTAGTGATGTGTATCGGAGTAGAAAGGGGGATCGGTTCTCATGAGATGGAGAGAAGTCGGTTGCATGTGTTGGGATGAGGTAGACTGGATGTACAATATATATACAAGCAAAGTTTTGGATTGCAAGACGGCTATCAAGACGTCACATTACAAAAGAAGGTTGAGGCCCTTTTTGTTCGTCGGGGGGACGAGGTGCGATTGTTGATAGGAAAAGCAATAGGAGCCTCGAAAGCTATGGTAACCAAAAGACTAAACAGATCCAAACGCCGGCGCAATATATCTGGGTATAGAGCGTTCATGTTTCATCCCATACATGACCGATTATTCCTATCGCTTGCATTTCAAGCTATTAGCATCACCTCACAAGAAGAGATTGCTCTTGGGGCTGTCCCTTCGCTTCTCGTATAGCCACTTGTTGTTCAGTCCCACGCTGGCCTTGCCGGTCGATGGTGTGGGAGTACCCGGGGTCACGCTGCTCGAGCTGTCACCAAACAGACTGCTGCTCATTGAACTGTTGTAGCTCAAGCGCTTTGCTGCTGATCCGCTGAGATTGAAGGGAGAATTGGAGGTTGACCCTCCCAGATTTGGGCGAGGACTGCCGTTGAACGGGGAGTAGTCTTGATTGCTGAAGCTGTTACTGCGTGGTGTGGATCGCTGGTAGCGAGGCGGTGTGACAAAGTTTGGAGAGGCATAAGCAGACCCTGGTGTCGGGGGCGCATGCACGTCTGCTTTGAGGCCCATCGAGGCGCGCTGCGAGGGAGTAAGAGGTATGTCGGCGATGTCGTCGGGGTAGTAGCGGCGGACGAGTGGGAGGAAGGCAATGACGATGTTTGCTGCGAAGACGATTCGGATGGCGACTATGGCCCATGCACTGAAGGGCACTGCTTTTACGACGGCGTTGATGGGAGCACTGGGGACATGTTAGGGCGTGCAGGGCGCGCGCTGCTTGGAGGGCGATACTCACGCTACATATCCCACCAGCTTCACTTTTTCGCTCACGCTTTGGCCATATACCGAGAGAAATAGCAGACCAGAGTTGAGCACAATAGCGCGCACATTGCGCTCGTCAAAAGTGGTAGCGTACTGGCGACGCGCAATCTCATCAAACTGTGGATGTCGCCATGAGCCGTTTGGCGTGGGCTGTTGGTCTGTCTGGGCCGATGGCGTGGTAGGCATGGGCGGCGTCGCCGAGTGGGCTTTTCGTGCAAGCGACATGGTGAGCTGCAGGTGGAGCTTGTGCGATGGTTGTTTGTTTGGCTCGAGGGGGAGGCTCGCTGGAGGACGGGGCGCGAGTGTCACGTGCTTGGCTGTGGTGGTGCTGTGGGGTTAGTAATCTGCGTCTATGCCTAGATGCTCCTCAGTGAGACTCTAGGCTACAGTGACATGTTTGCAATGGCTGGGGTCGAGGGTGAATGCTAGTACATGGTGTAGCTATGGTGTTGGATAGCAACCATGTTTTGCCCAGGGCCCTCGGAGAACGGCGCGAGCGTTGGAGGAAGCGCGACAGGGGTCCCTTGACTAGCCGCTCCCCCGCCGCCATCCCGCTGCTTCACACTGCGCCTTTAACACCTTTCTTCTCTTCCATGTGAATACAACCATATCCAGCCATGGCCGGAATTGTCCAACAGATCGATGAGGCCATCGCTGGCCTCCTCAGCGGTTGGAACGTCTACACCACCGTCATCGCCTTTTCCCTCGTCGGCTTCCTCGGATGGATCATCTACGACAACGCCGATGCCGATACACACCCACTGCTGCTCGCACGACAGGCCCAGGCTTCATATGTGAGGCAGCCGGGAGAGTCGGCCATCTTCAGGTCTCCCGAGACTCCTCACGGCTGTATGTTTGTTCCATAAATACTGCTTCTATGCCTCCGACTAACCCCGCCAGACCCCCTCCGTACTGGCCTCGCTGTAAAACCTCCGGGCGCTCCCATGTACTCTGCCGGCAAAGATGGCGATCTCCGTGATATCTGGCGACGTGTGACGGGCGAGATTCCCCTCGATAAAGGTGCCTCATCCAGCGGTAGTGCACACATCATGACCGTCTTCGGCAAGGAAGGTGTTACCGAGCACCCACTTGAAGAAGTCACCAAGGATATTGCCGTCATCGGGAAACATCTTCAAGGCCGTGGCGCAAAGCGTGTTGCCGTCTATCTACCCAACAGCCTCGAGTTTCTCTCCACGGTCTTCGCCGGCGCCTTCTACGGCTTTACACCCATCCTGATCCCGTACAACCAACCCCACCAGACGCTCATTGAACTTCTCGTGCAAACCGGTGCCGACGCACTGATTGCCGAGGCCGGCTCCGTTCCCCTCTCAGATGTCAGCCAAGCTGTGGCAGACCTTCGTTCAATTGTCTGGACCGTAGAGAAGACTAGCAGGCACATGGATTGGAGCGAGGTACCCGAGGGCATTGGCGGCAAGGTCGATGTGGCTGTCTGGCATGAGCTTGTACAAGAGCACAAGAGCAGCGCCGGTCCGCTCCCCACGACTTCTGAGAAGGCTCCTGGCATTGTCTTCCTTTGGCAAGAGGCCCCCGGGAAGCCTGCCGAGATTGTCGAATTCACGCAACAGGTACGTACTTGCAGCAAAGTGACATGGCAACCCCTCTAACAAGCACAGAATATTGTTGCTGCCACTGGCGCGCTCATTACATCTCTTCCGTCAGTCCGCCGTCTCAACGCCTCGGATACGTTCCTCCCCGCTGATGCCTTTACTCACTCGTACTGCCTGTGCTTGACTCTTGCTGCCTTGTTCTCGCATGCTACCGTCATCGTCCAATCTGTGGCTGGCCCAGGCGTTGATCTGACGCTTGCTACTCGTTCCATCGCTCCTACTGTCACTGTCGTCTCTGCCGAGACTGCAGCAAAGCTTCACAATACCACGAAGACTTCTGCAATTGGTGCCGCTAAGAAGCTGGCCCATTACCTCGAGTCACGCATCTTGACTGCCGGCCGCCTGCCTACTGACAATTTCCTCACCAAGCTGAATGCCCCAGCCAGGGCGGAAATTGGCACCACGCCTGGCAAGTTGCGCTTGATGTTTGTTTCGGAACGACAGGGCTTGAACACCCCACCGCTGAGCTCGGAAGATCTGTCTGACCTTCGAATCTACACCAAGGCTCGCGTTGTGTACGCTTTGACCACGGCCAAGGTGGCCGGGGCCGTGGCACAGACGAACATGTACGACTACCGAAGAGATACGGCATCGAATAAGCACAGTCACTTTGGTGTTCCACTAAGCTGCGTTGAGATCAAGCTGAAGGATACGCCACAGCACAAGACGACAGACGAGCATATTGTTGGAGAGCTTGTTGTAACTGGCTGGTCAGTAGCGGGTGGCCAGGTATCACTGGGAGTGAACGCCACTATCCGGGACGACCACACATTGGCGTATGTGTAGGTGCATGGTGGAAGCTGGTGAGGAGAGGGTGGATGTGCACATACATATAGATATCAAAAATATACTTATGGACAGGCATCTAGGCCTAGGAGAATGCATCAACAAGTAGCGTGCATATGTAAGGCTTACACTTGGAGGAGAAGCGGATACTATTTGCTCGCGTGGAGAGGGACCGTCCGGGGCATTGGAGCCGAGGCGCCACCGAGCCGCGCCCTGCTAGTGCTAGCGTTGAGATGGCCGGGGTGTCTTATCTGCAACTTGAGATGCCTGGGCGAATGACAGCCCATGGCCAGGTGGTTGACTCGCCATCGACCAGTGGCACAGTTGGCTGTGACTGGCTCTATACGAGAACTTACTCGGACCAGACACTTTGAGGCGTCGTCGGACCCCTCGCCTAACCGTACTGACCTCTCCCCAACCCGCCCGTCCCCAGCTGTCAAGCAAATTAGACGGTTTCCTCATGCGCTTATCTTATCATCTCCAGGCCTTGATATAACTAGTCGTGGTAACGGCCAAATGGACGGCGATCCGCCCCATGTCCACGGTTAGGTTCCCAAAGATAAAGACCTGTGTCCGTCCCTCTCTGCGCGACCTCGAGGCCAGACGCTTCGCGACTCCAGTGAGCTCTTGACATTGCTCTCCCGGCAAGCTTGCCACTAGGTCATCATGCCTTTTATCGAAAAGCCGCATTGGACCCTCAAGGTCGAGCAGCCTCGTAGTGCCTTTGCAGAGGGTAATGCGCGCTGGTAAGTCGAGAGCCCGCCCCCCCCCATCCAACATGAAGAAGAAGAACTCTTGCTAATCTACTCAACTCCCACAGGACCAACAAGGACTTAGACCCTGTCCCAAGGCATGCCCGAAAGTGGGGTGTAACCAGCTTCGTCTCGTATTGGATTTCGGATGCCTTCAAGTACGCGCCTCGAAATCAATGCGTCCACCGTGATACTAACGGCATTGCAGTGCTGCAACATGGCAATTCGCATCCAGCATCATTGCAATTGGTACGCAATCTCCATGTCAATCGAAACCCCCTATTCTGACCACCCTCCGCAGGTCTCACCTGGCGCGAGTCCCTCGGCATAGTTGCCCTCGCCTTCTTCATGATCTCCTTCGTGATAGCACTTAACGGCGCAATTGGAGTCCTCCACCACGTCCCCTTTCCCGTCATTGCACGTGCCTCATGGGGCTTCTGGGGCTCCTACCTGGCCATCATCTCCCGCGCCATTCTCGCCATCTTCTGGTTCGCCATCCAGAACATGAACGGGGCTAATTCGGTCCGCGTCATGATTGGCGCCATTTGGCCTTCTTTCCTCACCCTCAAGAACGGCATTCCAGAGAGTCAGGGCATCGATACTGCCACCATGATTAGCTTCTTCATCTTCTGGCTCGGAAGTTTGCCCTTTTTGGTCATGCATCCTAACCAGTTGAGGTGGCTGTTTATGGCAAAGAGTATCATTGTGCCTATTGCGTGGATCGCTATTCTTATCTGGGCTTTTGTTTCTACCGGTGGAGGTGGTGAGATGTTCAACCAAACTGCTACCCTCAAGGGAAGTGCGTACTCATGGGGTTTCCTTTCGTCCCTGACTGCCGTTACTGGAAACTATGCTACGCTTTCCGTCAACCAGGTAGGTTGTTCCTTTTACAGCACTAAACTCCCAGATCTAACTCATTATACAGTCCGATTTCTCACGTTACTCCCGTGTCTCGGTGAAATGGCAATGCATTTACGTCCCATTCCTTCCTCTGGTCTTCACCTTCATCGCCTTCATCGGAGTCGCCGCTACGTCCGCTGGTGCTGCCCAGTACGGCGAAATCAATTGGGACCCCATGGCGCTCATTGCACACTGGGACAACCGCGCATGCCGCTTTTTCGCCGCCTTTAGCTTTGCCCTTGCCGCTCTGGGTGTGAACATCTCTGCCAACTCGCTCTCTGCCGCAAACGATCTCATGGCCCTGTTCCCACAATACGTCAACATCCGCCGCGGTCAGCTCCTGTGTGCCATCCTCTGTTGGGCATTGGTACCCTGGAAGATCCTCGCTAGCGCCGGCAGCTTCCTCAACTTCATGGCTGCGTATGCCATTTTCCTGGGCCCTATTGCCGCAATCATGGTTATCGATTTCTGGGTCGTACATCGCGCCAAGTATGACACGCTGGCGCTGTTCCAGTACAATGGTATCTACAGGTACACGGCTGGTGTCAACTGGCGTGCCATTGCCGCTTTCCTCGTTGGCGTTGCACCCAACTTGCCTGGTTTCATCCAGTCCATCAACCACAAGATCGATGCTGGTGTAGGCGCAAGACCGTACAGCTTTGGTTGGATGTTGGGTTTCGTAGGCACGGCTCTCGTATACATGTTGCTCGAGATGGTGATTGCGCCGCCAACGGAGACTTTTATTGAAAAGCCTGTATACCCCGACGAGATTTACGATGAGAGTGGATACGTGGATGAAGGCGTTAGTGTAGGCAGTGGAACTGACGAAGCCAGGAATGAGAAGGTCGGGTGGAAGGCGAGGATGAATCGCATCCTGTAACGTAAAAAGGGGGAGAGTAAATCAATGTTCAAGTGAGGTGTCGTAACTTTTTTTTTAATATCGTTGAATTCATATAACAAGACGTATCGAAATGAGGGTATTTTCATCATCAAACCAAATTCCGACAACAAGACTTTCTTCTTAGCCTTTTGTGCAAACGAACGCACTCCTTCCATCCCATCCCCATCTCTTACAACCCCACCACCACTCCCACCAAACCCGCAACCCCAACCACGGCCCCAACACCCACCTGTACCTTACCCCCAGCACCACCCTGCTGCTCCTGAGGCTCCGCACTCGCCGCCGCAACCTGCAACCCGTACGCGGTCGACGTAGCCACAACGCCGCTCACCGTCGTCGTAACCACACTCGTCGCAGTCGTACTCGCCGTGCACCCTTCCCAACTCGTCCACGGCGCAGACGTACTCCACGGGCCCGCCGTCCAGCCAGGCCACTCGGACGGCGGACACTTGCTGCCGCCCCACCACGCGGTCCAGGGCCCGGAGCGCCAGTCCGAGCGCGTGGCCCAGTCGCTGTAGGGACCGTAGTTGGAACTGCCCCAGGGACCTATACCATCGGGACCTGTTTTGCACACTTTATGTCAGCTTTTTTTTTCTTTCTTCCTTCTATTTTCTGGGGGGAAAGGAGGAGCATTTTGAAAGAGGGAAATAGAGGGGGAAGAAGAAACGTACCACCCCAGCGCCCTCCAGGACCACCGCCAGGACCATGGCCAGGACCGAAACCAGGTCCGCCCCAGGGACCTTGGCCGGGGCCCCAACTACCAGTTGGCCAGGGTGCGGCGGTCAGAGTTGAAGGGATTTTGCCGTCGGAGAGGAGGGAACTGTATATCGAGGACCATTTCGCTGGGTCGTCTGAGGCCCAGGGGGGACCGGTTTCGTACCAAGCTGCCGTCGAGGTGGGAGTTGGAGCTGGGGTAATTGTTTGGGCGAGGAGAGAGGAGATGAGGGCTGTGAGGGTAGTTGGGAGGAGGAATCTCATTGTGGCTTGTGTTCTGTATGCCGTTCTTGGTTTATCCTTCTTTGGTGTGTGTGTGGTTGAAGAACAGACAAAAGAGACTACTACTACAAAATCGCTATTAATGCTACCTACCATCTCCTCAAATACTGCACTTGAACTGACATACGCGGCCTACAAGGCTAATCGACGCCATGCCGGCTTACCTTGCAGTTCCCACC